TTCTAATGCACTTTATGCAGAGAGAGAGTTTACAAGTTTCAGCCCCCTTAAATACCTCTCAGGCGTATTGGAGAGTCGATATGGAGAACTTCATTCATATGGACGGGTTGTTGTCACGGGTGGGTTTCCAACCAGTGTCTTCTCCTCTTCTTGGATCCAGTCCAGGTTATGGAGGTCTGGGAGATGAAATGCACACAACTACTGAGTTGACATCCTGATTAATCGCTCCCCCGAACTTCTAGTGACTTTCTCTTTTATCCCTTTTGTCGTGAGAAAAAGGGTCACGTGTTTGTCCAGTGTTGACAGTTACAGTGCCAAGTTGACACTTATGAGTCAATTTTCCCATTGGATTGTTATGACTTAAAGTAACCTCTGCTCTAATTCTTACCAGGATTGTTTTGCTTTCGAATTTGTTTACAAATTCCTCGACAAATTTAAATTTCCGACAAATGTGTAAATTTGCGGATCTCACATACATAGCTAGAATGATTAGGCTTCAGACCGCCACTGCTGTAAAATGAATATTGTCTTAAAGCAAATCACAATCTTTTTTCACTTGCCAATGCATAGAAAGCCTATGTATTTACATATTTATTATTGCACATACACAGAAACATTTATGCTATACAGTAGACCCCCCATAACATGGTAGATAATTCCATGTTATATGAATTCCATGTTGTACGAGTCACTTAGATTTTACAAATATGTGTTCCGGGCTGTGAACAGCTCACGTATTTGTAAAATCTAAATGACTTGTACAACATGGAATTCATATAACATGGAATTATCTACCGTGTTATAGGGGGTCGACTGTAATTAGATGTGCAATAGCATTAGACCTAAACGCAAGTATACAATACATAACACAAAGTAAACATGCATAAATAGCCTGAAAATCCTTTTTAAGAATAAGGCAAGTACAGTGGAACCCAGTTAATGAGCGTCCTGGTTAACGACCAAATCGGTTAACGAACTTTTATTTTGCAAAAAATTTTGTCTCCGATAACGAACGTAACGGTATTTTGTGTCAAATTTTAGTTGGTGTTAGGCATGCGCGAGTTAAGCATTGCTTTTCCCAGTGTTTGTGCTATACTTGTTTTTTCAGTTTTGTGATTTATATATTTAATCAATATGGCATCCAAGAAAAAAAAAATCATAGTGGCAATAGAAAACGACAACGTGCTATCGCATTTGAGGAAAATTTTGATTAAAAGAGTAAGACAATCAACTTTAGATCAATTTCTTGTTCCTTACGGAAAGAGTTTGTTTGTTTGTTAAGTTATGGCAACGCAGCACTTGGACGATCTGCCTAGGGGGAATGACTTCTGGGAGGTGTTTTTAAGGGAAACTGCTATTTAGGCATTACAGACGTGGAGAAAACCCAGAAAACTCCACGTGGCCAGCCCGTCTGAGCGAGGTGCGAACCCACGAACGAACTCCCCGTGTTCAAGGTACGAAGACCGCTTAGCCACTGGTGGGTTTTTTCCGAAAGAGACT